TGCTGTATGGGGCATTTATCTTGAGATGGTGACATGCTGCCAAGGATTTGGAATTGTCATGCTGGTTCTCAAATATCTTGGGGTGCAGATCCTGACCAGGATGGCCCAGCGGGTGTTGCGTGTCTAACACGAGAGTTGTGGTCCCGTCATGCTATGGGTGACGGCTTGACCTGACAGCCCGGAGATAGAGACACTCCGTGGCATGTCTAGCCTAGTGGGCTGTGCGCTCACAGGGCTCGGAGAGTGTGGTCCCGTCATGGAATAGCTGACGGCTTGACCTGACGGCCCGGAGGTTGAGACCCTCCGTGGTGCGTCTGGAGCAGTAGGCTCGCCCTGACGGCCCGGAGATCAAAACACTCCGAGGCGCGTTGAAACAGTGGGCTGGAGATGAGTGGTGTTCAGGTGTAGTTGTCCCGTTGCGTTGGGACTGTATCCCTCAGTTGTTAGGGTGCATGTTGTGCAGGGAGTGAACGATGGGTCGTCTCAGATCGGTCGGTATAGCTATATGCTGCGATGCGAGTCTTGGAGAGAGATTGGGTCTCAGCTCGGTCGGTACAGCTATATGCTGCGATGCGAGTCTTGGAGAGAGATTGGGTCTCAGCTCGGTCGGTACAGCTATATGCTGCGATGCGAGTCTTGGAGAGAGACTGGGTCTCAGCTTGGTCGGTACAGCTATATGCTGCGATGCGAGTCTTGGAGAGAGACTGGGTCATCTCAGCTCGGTCGGTACAGCTATATGCTGCGATGCGAGTCTTGGAGAGAGACTGGGTTGAAGCCCCCCGATATGGCCGATGCGTGCTACTGGTTGTGACGCCGCGTCGGAAAGGCGGTGGGGTGGTAACACGGAAATTCCCCCCCGATATGGCCGACGTGCACAGTTTTAGGATGGAGGCGCCACGTTGGAAAGGGGTGCTAACGGTTGACATGTAATGTTGTTGGTGGTCCTCATTGAGGGCTGCTGGGACGCAAGCACGGGATGCCTTTTGGAGATGCGGTTCGTGCGTGCGGCCACCATTTATGGACAGGAGCAGGCAGATTTATTTTGTTTGTGTCATGTCAATTTTATATATATATTTTAAAATGTAGATACTGGAGCAGCCCTGAAGTGCGACTTCTTTGCCCAGTACATGGGTCGGCCCTGAAGTACGACTTCTCGACCCGGGACGTAGACAGACGTCCGGATAAGTGTGTGTAGAGGGGTGCTAGACATGTTGGTCTTCGCCTTCTCACCACGTGACGGATGGGAGGGTGGCAGGGTGGTGTGAATCCCTGCCATCCATGCGGTGGTTGTGTGATTTCGGTTCAATTACCGGTGTTGGTTGTGCATCCAACGCGTCGGAATCTGTATATTTGTTGTTGTTAATTCCCTGGTTTCTATGCGGATCCCGAGGAGGGCTAGGTGTGCCGTGGGTCGTTTGTTCACGTGTCATTGCTTCACCTTTTTGTTGATTGATGCTTGTATATAGTGTAAAGTTGTACAGGTTGGTTATGGTATTTATGGTTGCTTTCTTGTTCTCTTTTCTTTTCCTGTTAAGGCTCGCGTATTTTTTTTCTCTCTCTCTCCCTTTCGTTAATTTAAACGTTCTAATTATTGACAGCCGGGACGGCTGGAGGCTACATAGAGGGGGGTAATGTAGTGACATAAGAAGGGAGGGGCTGCTGGGGGCTCTGGGTCCCTGGGCGGGCCAGGCACTTAATCCCCTTGGCGCCAGGCGTGGGTTCTCAGGCGGGTCAGATGCTTAAGCCTCTTGGCATCAGGCGTTGAGTTCCCAGGTGCTTAATCCCCTTGGCGCCGCCAAAGGGGGGGGGGCTGTGTGTGCTCTGTGGGATATCTGGGGGCGCACATGGCCCCACCCCTCGTTGGACCAGGCATAAAAGGAGAGCTCCCTGGACGATCGGGGCCCAGTTGTGACTCAAGACCCAAGACCCACGACCAGCCATCTGAAGACCCTGGGATGCTGTGAGAGCCAGTGGTGGGACTCTGGAACTCCCGACTCTACGACCTTGTGAGGGCGAGTTCCAGAGCGCAGCCAGAGTAGAGTATCTAGGCTGTGTACCTAGGCTGTGTACCTAGGCTGTAACAGAGTATCAGGACTGTTGGAGAGTTGGACTGTTGGAGAGTTGGACTGTTGGAGAGTTGGACTGTTGGAGTGTTGTATTGTAATACAGAAGTTACCTCTACAAGTGTCTCCGGAACCCGTTACACATATGTATGCGCGTGTGTGTGTGCGCGCGTGTGTATGTGGGGAGCGGTGGTGCAGCGGTTAGCATGCCGTGCCACGAACTCGGCCGCCCGAGTTAGATTCCCGCTCACGGCCAACACCGGCGACGATTATCTGAACCGTTACTTGAGACTCCCCTTGGTCGACTCAGCCTCAAATGAGTGCCTAGTGCGGCGTGTGGTAAACATTTCCACTGGGGAGACAAAGGCGGCCGGGCGTGGTGCTGACCACCCACCCCCTCGTGTGCCGTGCTGGCATTCATAGGTGCGACTGGCGAACAGCACTGACTCCGACAGTCTGTTAAGGCTATACCGGGGATCTTTGTCTTCATCTTTGTTTGTGTTGTACGTGTTTATGTACACACGATAACGTGCGTGCGTGCGTTTACGCACACACGAGACCATGCGTGCGTGTGTTTATGCACATACGAGACCGTGCGTGTGCGGTCTCATCTGGCAAGCTGCTTAGCTTCCCAGGTTTGACGCGTTGCAACGCGTTCGCTGCTCGTTGAAGAGGCTCGCGGTACGATTCCGGCGGCGCCCTGGCTAATACTGCGCTGTGTAGCAACATTGCCATGCGCCACCTGCTTCACAGTGGACGTTGAAGATCCCGTGACGACGTTCATTAAATAATGTCACGCGAGCCGGCTTCACGCGGCCCAAAAGCTGCTAAATTTTAAAGATTGCCGTGAAAATTACTCGAAACACCGTATCCCACGGAACTGAGTACTGCCTTTTCCTGGCCGGCCAGGTTATGGGTCCTCCTTGAAGCCCTTGGGAAGGGAATTTCACAACATTTGTGTGATTCACCAACCCTCGCTGCATCCTCCACAGTGCTGGATTAAAAGTGGGTGTGGCCACCACCACCCAAATTGCAGCTGAAATCCGATATTGTAAAAAAAAACGCCAATTCACCACTAAGGTTCCAGCCGGTGGTTCGAACCTTCATGCAAACTCCCGTCATCCTCGCAGTGGCTTATGGCTAACCATCGGTCATCGCATCGGGCACTTTCAAATGTGCTTCTGGGGCCGTCTGGAACGCTCTTCCTTCTGATATTAGGAAGCCACTGGAGCTGTGCACTTTTAAATAATTTAGTTTGAAAACTCATTTCTTTAGAACTGTTTTTGTGTTTAGTTTGTTGTCCTTGCCGCGCGCCTCCGATGAGCAAGGCTGATTACGTACGGTGCGAAAGAAGTTCAACATACGTACAGGGGTCGGCACATTGCGAGTCACCAGCACCCTCATCATCAGTCAAGATAAATTCACTGCTGGTTCGAGGCCTTACCAGGCCGCCGCCACCTCTCACGATCCCACGATCCACCGAGCGCCTGCTCAGGAACCGATCTCGTCGCTCCGTCTCCTCGCTAGAGGATCCTCTCGGGTTCGTTCCATTCCTTGGCAGCTACTCTGCCATTAATGTTCACTAGCGGAACATCATCCTACATGGGCGGCACGCGCCCCCTGCCCAAGCCCCGCACGCTTCTTTCTCTCTCTGCACGATGGAGATATCGCCGATGGCGAACGCAAGCGACACATTTACGAACGTGGCACCCGCTTATGCGACGGTGGCGAGATGTTAACTGCCTCGCCTAGTATGCAGGAGGTCGTGAGTCTGACCCCGACCCTGACACCTGTTGTATATTTAGAATTTGCGTGTTTCTCTCACCGTGGTCGCGTAGATTTGTCTCCAGGTTCTATGGTTTTTTCCTCCACATTTAGAATCGACATGCGGTTAGAGTATTTGGCTGCTATAAAATGTCCACGCAATAAGCCACTTTGATCGGCGATCATTTACGATAGCCCGGTCGCTTCTGAAAAGAGCTACGTAGCTCAGTGGGGCCTTATCTGGTAAAATAAAAAGTTTATTTTTGCTTTAAGATTTTGTACGCAGGACAAGGTCATTGGGTCATTTGGTCAATGTGCGACAAGCGGGGCGGCATCCGGGGCAACCCAGAGTGCAAATGCTACAGCTGCAGGACTGATGCATCGCGTGGAGGAGGGGAAGGAGGAGGGTTGCCCTTTCAGCGAGTATCAACCAATTTTGTTGAACCCGGTGGTGAGAACTCGATGGGCAAGAGTGGCGTGGGTCAGCAGGATGACGACAGAAATAAAACAGAGTAAAAGTAGAGCAATGAAGCAAAGTGAAATCGGTGCAACCGCATTCCAGATTAATAAAAACAACTTTGAAGAAAATGTATTTTTCGGAATGAAGGTTGGTTCGGACAAATAACTTTTAACAACCATTACACGGTTAAAGTTGGATGCGATTGTCGGTTAACCTTGATTGTAAATATGCGAGGTGGCTGAGTTTGGGGCCGCAAAACGCGGATCGGTGTAAGGAGAACAGAGAGAGAACCTAGAGTGCTCAACCCTCCTGCTGCTGTGGGCCATGCAGGGGCCTCGCCCGGCAGAGCGACTTCACGAGCGGCAGCACCGCGCACACGCCCTCCCCGGGGCCTCGGTCGCTTCCTAGGGCCACAGTCGCTCCTCTGGGGCCACGGTCACTTCCCAGGGCCACGGTCACTTCCCAGGGCCACGGCCGCTCCCTCGTGGCCACGGCCGCTCCCCCGGGGCCAGGGCCGCTCCCCCGGGGCCACCGCCACTCCTCTGGGGCCACGGTCACTTCCCAGTGTCACGGTCACTTCCCAGTGCCACGGTCACTTCCCAGTTCCACGGTCGCTTCCCGGGGAGATGGCCGCTCCCCCGGGGCTACGGCCGCTCCCTGGGGCCAGGGCTGGAGGGGAGAGTCACAGCGAATTTGCACGCGAGGTGCGTTACCTGCTTCTCCACCTTGATGACCCGACCCATCATGCTCTGGTCTTCCCGGATGTCAGACTCTTGGGACACCTTTTCCCGCGATCGTATTCTCTCAGTGCTCAACGCCGGCTGGACCTTGCCCACGATCTGATCCACCCTGGACGCGGGGACGGGGGGCACAGGGAGATGGCGACGTCCTTATCAGCACGGCCTCCGGAGCCGACGCCGGGCGATCTCGGTGCCCATGTGCCGGTGCCCGCCCGGGGCCGGCGCGCGGTGTGGTTGGCGCTCACCGGGCCTGCAGGCTTTTGATGCGGCTCAGCATGTCCAGGTGGCCCGCCGAGTACTGCTCGATGACGTCCTTCACGTCGTATGGTCGCAGCGTTTCCTTGAACTTCCTCTTGGCCACGTGGAACTTCATGATCCTGAACGCACGGCGACGAGTGGTGGCGGCGGCCACACGTTTGAGTCTACCGTCTCCGCGTGTGTGTGTCGCGTGTGTCGGGCATGTATTGTGTGCGTGTGTTATTGTGGGTAGCGGTAGTGTAGCGGTCAATTTGCTCTACTTTCATACCCAGAGTCCCGAGTTCGATTCCCGCTCAGGGCCAACACCAGTGACGATTTTCTGAACTGGTCCGTGGGCCTCGCCTAGGTCGACTCTGCCTCCATCAAATGAGTACCTGGTGTGATGTGGTGTAAACATCGATACTAGGGAGACAAAGGCGGCCGGGCGTGATGTTGACCACCCAGCCCCTCGTGTGCCGTGCCGGCCTTCATAGGTGCTCGCTAACAGCACTCGCCCCTACAGTCTTTCAAGGCTATACGGGGGATCTTTGTCTTTGCGTGTGTGCACGCGCGCGGTACGTACCGCACCCCGCGGATGGCAATGCGCAGTGCAGGCGTGAGCTCCTCCACCGCCATCTCACAGTGGCACCTCCGGTCGTCAAACACCTCGTCCGTACTCTCTAAGGGACAAACGAGTGACGTGAGCAAACACCTTTGAAGGTCGGCGCCGCAATGCGCGAGGGGGTGAGTGACCAGCACCATGCCGGGCAGGCTGTGGTTCACCAGTGGTTTATGCGCCGCACCAGCCACTCTTTTAATGCTGCGCCGACCTGGTGGAGGTCCAGAATCGGTTGAGATATTCGCCACTGTGGTTGGTGATGAGTGGAAATGGAACCACTGCACCATCGCTCTCATCCCTGCTCTGCATATGCACGTACAAACATATCCTGTACAGCCTTAACACATTTCTAGGACAAGTGCTGTTAGCGAGCACCTATAAAGGCTGGCACGGCACACAAGGGTGTGGATGGGCAGCACCACGCCAGGCCGCTTTTGTTTCCCACGTGGCGATATTTACACATCGCACCCATGCACTCACTTGAGGCCGAGTCGACTTAGGCGAGGCTTAGGACCAGTTCAGAGAATCGTCACTGGTGTTGGCCTTGAGTGGGAATTAAACTCGAGTCGTCGGGGTCGTAGCACGCTTTCTACCACCATCACACCTTACCAGCCTCTCACCATTTCTGGACAATGTACCACCAACCGCTCTGAACCAGTCTCTCTCCACTGCTTGACAATGTACCACCACCACGCCACTACCACACCGAGCCAGTCTCTCTCCGCTGCTGGCTCGCTGCCTACCCTCGGAGCACTGGCGAGACTGTGCGGCGCGGAGCCGCAGCGAGGGCCGGAAGCGCGTGCGGTCGTTGAAGCTCCAGCTCTTGGTGACCTTGGCTGGGCTGCCGGGCCCTGCCGTGTCCGTGCTGGGGGAGCGCCGATCCGCGCCCAGGGGGGCCCGGCCCCCCGCGCCCCCACGGGGGGGGCCCTGGGCCCCTCCCCCCGCCGCCATGCACCCGCCCGTCGCCGCGCCGACGCTGCCGCCGATGCCGTAGCCGCCGCCGCCGGCGGTGGTGGCGGCCGCGGCCCCGCGGGGACTGGAGAGACGAACTCGCTCGCGCAGACTCAGCTTCTGGCTGCACACGACGCGGGCACGCGGTGGGGCGCTCTGGTGACGACGATACCGCTGCACGTGTGCTGTACACCACGCCCGATAACACAGACACTCGTACACGTGTGTGTACTATACGAACTATTTATTTATTTTACCAGGTAATGCCCACTGAGCTGCGTAGCTCTTTATCAGAAGTAACCTGGCCACAAATGATAGGGCAACGAAGTGGCTTGTGACGTGGAAATATATAGCAGCCAAATACTCTAAACGCGTTTAAATTCTGAATGTGGAGGGGAAACCCGGAGGACCCGCAGAAAATTCCACGCGACCATGGGAAGAGAGAGACACGGAAACTCCAGAGAAACAGGCGTCAGGGTCGAGATCAAACCCACGACCTCCTGTATACCAGGGAAGGTAGTTAACAACTCGCCACTGTGGCACTACTAGGCAGGTCTCCCGGATTAGACATTTTAGACGATCCAAAAATGTTTCTGCTTCGCGTCCGATTGATCCGAAATACGTGACATCATGTGAAGTGACGTCACTATCGCAGGAAGTGATGCCACATCGAGTGACGTCACTGTCATGAGCAGGAATACGCCGTTAGATCATCGCGTCGTGTGAAACATGAGGAAATCTAGAATGATCTAACATTTTCTCTAACAAACCCAAATCTATTTTCGCCACATTGGAAACTAAACCCTAATATATATACACCGGGCATAATCACAAACGACAAAAAACAACAAAGACAAAATGTTGGGACAAGAGCTCTCGGTAAAGACAAAAGATCCCCCGCATAGCCTTAACAGATAACAGACTGTTGGGGCAAGTGCTGTTAGAGAGCACCTATGAAGGCCGGCAGGGCAAACGAAGGAGTGAGTGGCAAACCCCACACACGGTCGCCTGTGCTGATGTTTACACACCATACTAGGCACTCGTTTAGGGCTCAGTCGACGTAGGGGAGGCCCAGGACCAGTTCAAATAATTCACTACTGTTTTTGACCTTGAGCGCGAATAAAACTTGTGTTGCCGGGTACATAGTTCAGTGCGCTAAACGCTACGACTCAACACTAGAAAGGCAAAGCCCCCCCCCATACAGCCTTAACAGACTGTTGGGGCAAGTGCTGTGAGCACCAATGAAGGCCAGTATGGTACACAAGGGGGTGGGTGGCCAGTACCCCGCCAAGTCACCTTTGTCTCCCCAGTGGTGATTTTTTTTACATACGGCACCAGGTACTCATGTGAGGCTGAGTCGATCTAGGGGAGGCCCACGACCGGTTCAGAAAGTCGCCACTGGTGTTGGCCGTGAGCGGGAATCGAACTCAGGTCGCTGGGTTCGTAGCACAGCACGCTAACCGCTACACTACCGCTCCCCACTACGCACATGAATGGACACATATTTACAATACATCATCCGCACACACATGTATTTTTTACTCAGCGTAGATTATCAGTCGTGCACAATGAAAACGTGCACACATCATCTCACACAACATTTGTGTCAATGCGTTAAATGCGCGCAAGTCGCACAAGTCATTTACAACCACCGCACCACCCGCTCCCCACACACAGCCCACAGTCCCGGCATGCGTGCCCCTTTGTAGGTGCTCGCGAACAGGACAATCCTTTGCAGGGGCTAAATGGGGGTGTGCCATCCTCGTCCAACGTTCGCAGGCACACACACACAAGCATGCAATGTGACTGTGGCCAGAAGCCACACGTGCGCTTGCAGGTGCACGGTTATACATGCAGCCCTTCCAAGCGCTCATGCAAACGTGGTGCACACACAGGCACAGGCACTCGGTCGCCTGCTGGGATGAACACAGCACTAGGATGCCGTGTGGATTTTGCCTCCTATTGTACATCGCGGCAATGCTGGTGTGTCGTCGTGGCGTCGTTCGGCAAGGAGAGTGGGACCAGGAGGCTTATTCAGTCAGTCGATTAATCGACTAAACTTCGACTGCTTCTTCCGTGGTCGACTACCCGGGGCCCCTTTAAGAACGGCACCCCGCCTCGCGAGGGCTGGAAACTCCATTGCAAACTACGCCAAGCGTGATGCGGCCGATGATGCCGATGGTGTGACCGAGCACCAACCTATCGCCTGCCGTCGAGCGGCACACGTGGGGAACAGAGGCGAAATGTTGTGATTCCAGCAATCCGCTAAGTCAGGGGTCGGCAACCAAAATAACAAGAAGAGCCATTTCTTTCCAATTCGGTACAAAATTCAGTATTTCAAGAGCCGCAATGCATCTGAGTACATACGTACTCATCGTCAAGAAGCAGCCCGTAAAGAGCCGCATGCGGCTCCGGAGCCGTAGGTTGCCGACCCCTGCGCTAAGTGGAGTAACGTAACCGATCATTAGGAGAGTGATCAATCACTCGAGCAGCCGGATCGCCCCCCCCCTTCCGCCTCCGTTGCGATTTCAGTTGAGACGAACGATTCGGGAATTCGGTAGTTCCACAAAAAGCTCCCCGGCACGCTGTGTAAAACGTCGGACATCATGTCGGCACGCAGAACGACGCGTGGGAGAGCTGCGCCGCACAACCTCGTGAGCGAGCGCCGCATCGTAAAGGGATCCCGGGTTCCCAGCGAGCATCGCTTGACAAGTGTAAAAACGTCTCCCCGGAACTCCGACGGCGAGCAGAGAATGAAAAGTAAGAATAGGTCTGTACCCTTTCTGGCAATAAAACAGGAGGCGTTAAGATGTTCAAACACCAAATAGAAACCTTTTGCAAAGAATCAAGTACTGCATTAACTACACGTGATACTTGTGGTAAACATGCAAACAAAACATGCTCTGATATATGCATTGTTTTTAAAAACGTATTGGCCTACACCAGAGACAGCCTTCTTTAGGGCCTAGACTCACCAGTGTCAGACCAGAGAACGTCAAAAAGCGAACAGCACAAAGACAATGCACTTTCAGAGCATTTATAGCTCGGGTGAGCAGCTACAAAATGGACTTTTTTTGCCAGTATCAAAGCATGAAAAAATAAGAATATTATCACAGCATGTTTTGTATGCATGTTCATCACAAGTACGTGTGGTTAATGCAGTACATGATTCCCTGCAAAAAGGTTTCTATTTGGTGTTTGAACATCTGTTTTCTTGCCAGAAATGGATGAACATCTGTTCGAATTTTTCATTCTCTGATATTGGCAACAATGGTCTCATGGCGAGAACAGCGTCGCGCGATGCCCCGTGGACGACGCCGCAACGGCCCCTAACGTCGTGCAGCAAGCGGCGCTATCGAAGATTGGGTTTGTAAGGGCGGAACGTGTTTCTTGAGCTGAGCAAGGCTACTGTCGTAAGGGATTGGGGAAAGGGGCGACGGAGGTAGGAGAGAATTCCAAGGTGGAGCGGTGCGAGGGAAGACGCGAAAAGAGAAGTGGGGTGAGATGCAGCGTGGCGAGTGAGAGGGCAAGTGAGAGGCTGAGTGTGTTGTTGTGACCTGTAGCGTGGTGAGTGAGAGGGTGAGTGCGTGAGTGAGTGGGTTGTTGTGACCTGTAGTGTGGTAAGTGAGAAGGTGAGTGGGTTAGTGAGTTGTTGTAACATGTCGTGTGGCGAATGAGAGAATGAGTGAGTGGCTGAGTGTGTTGTTGTGACCTGTAGTGTGCTGAGTGAGAGGGTGATTGCGTGAGTGAGTGGGGGAGTTCCTTGTTGTTGTGTTGGCGTGCTGCGCTATGAAAATGGGAATCCGAATTCGATTCCCGCTCAAATTGAGACGCACGTGCGAGTCAAGGCGATTATTGAAAAACTGCAGCCAAGTGTAAACTGTGGAAGAGCGATCCTTGTCGCGGTCTCACCCCCCCCCCATTGAGTCAGCCGTGTCCACGCAGAGCGAACAGCAAGGCCATCTGAGATACCAAGGCCCCTCTGAGACACAAAGGCCCCTCTAAGACACCAAGGACCGCTGAGAGACCAAGGCTCCTCTAAGAGACCAAGGCTCCTCTAAGACACCAAGGCTCCTCTAAGACGCCAAGTCCCCTCTGAGACATCAAGGGCCCTTTGAGACACCAAGGCCCCTCTAAGACAACAAGGCCCCTCTGAAACACCAAGGCCGCTCTGAGACACCAAGGCCCCTCTAAGACGCCAAGTCCCCTCTGAGACATCAAGGCCCCTTTGAGACACCAAGGCCCTCTGAGACACCATGGCCCCTTTGAGACCCCAAGGCCCTCTGAGACACCAAGGCCCCACTGAGACACCAAGGCCCCACTGAGACACCAAGGCCCATCTAAGACACCAAGGCCCCTCTGAGACACCAAGGCCCTCTGAGACACCAAGGCCCCTCTGAGACACCAAAGCCCTCTAAGACACCAAGGCCCTCTGAGACATCAAGGCCCCTCTGAGTCCCCAAGGCCCTCTAAGAAACTAATGTCATCTCAGAAACCAAAACCCTCTAAGACACTATGGCTCCTCTAAGGTACCAAGGCCCCTCTGAGATAGCAAGGCCCCTCTGAGACACCAAGGCCCTCTGAGACACCAAGGCCGCTCTGAGACACCAAGGCCCCTCTGAGACACCAAGGCCCTCTGAGACACCAAGGCCCCTCTGAGACATCAAGGCCCCTTTGAGACACCAAGGCCCTCTGAGACACCAAGGCCGTTCTGAGACATCAAGGCCCTTTGAGACACCAAGGCCCTCTGAGACACCATAGCCCCTCTGAGACACCAAGGCCCCTCTGAGACATCAAGGCCCCTTTGAGACACCAAGGCCCTCTGAGACACCAAGGCCCTCTGAGACACCAAGGCCCTCTGAGACACCAAGTCCCCTCTGAGACATCAAGGCCCCTTTGAGACACCAAGGCCCTCTGAGACACCATGGCCCCTCTAAGACGCCAAGGCCCTCTGAGACACCAAGGCCCCACTGAGACACCAAGGCCCCACTGAGACACCGAGGCCCTCTGAGACACCAAGGCCCTCTGAGACACCAAGGCCCTCTAAGACACTAATGTCATCTGAGACACCAAAGCCTTCTAAGACACCAAGGCCCCTCTGAGACACCAAGGCCCCACTGAGAC